ATATAATTTTAATTATAAGTTTTAATAAACATGAAATCTGATTAGCTGATTGGATATCAGGTGGGGTGGGTGGGGGTGGGTTGAGGTGATCACTTAGTAAATCCTAATCAGCTGATTTCTGAAAGCACACTAAGAGATTAATTTGATATTTAATTTAATATATATATTAAGAATTTATTTTAAAGCTAATAAAAGTATAGCAATTTAGTATAATTAATAAATTGTTGCATTTCTAAGCAGCAGGTCAAGAGTTTGAATTCTATTAGTAATGAAATTTGAATTTACAGAACATATCAGTAGACTATATCTCATTAAATCTGTACTTGTAATATAATCATATCAGCTAGTTCTGAAAGGTTATAGAACTGTAATATAATATATGAATTACATGAACTAAATAAAGCAGCGGTATAAAATCAGTAAATTAAAAGATACAGAAGCCTACTTGGCAAGACTCAAATAGAAAGGTAGCACAAGTTTCAATAGTACTATATAAAGAATTATCACTAAAAAACTAGAATAATTGAACAGAACTGAAATATACAGCAAGATACTCTACTAATCAGGCTGCTGGGTCAGCTGATAAAAAGGAGTTTACCCTTTCAGGCTTTTTAGATTAGGAGTTTGGAGAAGCTAAAAGAACAGTTGATAGTCTGTATAGTGGATGCTAAAGTTTGGGCAAACTCTACATAACAATAACAGCTTCGGCTTGCAAATACTTGTTCTCAGACTTGGTATAAATTACTGAAGTCTAGGTTAACCAAATTGTGAATATGAAAAGCTCTAGCAAGACAACTACTACATCTACCTGTGAGAACCTATGTAGAGTAACTCAATAATATAAAAATCTATTAAATTATCTATAGAGTTTAAATCCTACTGATAATAAAATTTAAATTTATAGAATACATTTGAAAGACTAGAATTCTAATTCAGATAAATTTGTTATCTATTTATCTATATCTGAATTATCTAAACAATCTATATTATATAAACTGATAAAAATATTTGAATAATCTGACAGATATTCAGATAATTATTTAAATATCAATAGTAAATGGATATTTAATAAATTTGGATTAGATATTTTGAATAACGAATTATAAATATCTAATAGATAAATGGATAAATAAATAGTAGATAGAAATATTATAAACAACTGTATTATTAGTTCAATATCTGTAATAGGATTACATTAGCTTGTATTAAGAGGCAATAAAAAACATTAGTATAATATATAAATTATACAAAATCTAAGTAAAGTTGCTATATTAGTAAATTTTTAGAATTTATTATTAAAAATTTTAATAATAATTAATTATAAATAACTTTTTTAATCCACTGGTCTGTTTTTGATGAAACAATTACCAAAATGGAATAGTAAATTAAAAGTTATCTATAGTTAATTATTATTAGAATTTTTAATAATAAATTCTAAAAATTCACCAATATGCTAAGTAAATCTAACAGATTAGAATATAAAAGCCTACTTAGCAAGATCTGAGTAAAAAAATATACAGTCTTTAATAATACTATATTAAGAATCATTATCTAAAAACTGAAAAACTAATAAGACTGAAGTATTTAGTAAAAATACTATATCTACCAAACTGACAAACAACCAGAGAAAAAAATCACTCTTCTGAGCTATCTGAATTAGGAGTTTGAAAGTATAATAGATAGTTCATAAAGTAGGTACTGTAGTTTAGATAAATTTTGCAAAGGCAGAAGTAGGTAATAGTAGTGATTTTAGCTCACAAATACTTGTTTTCAAACATGGTATAAGTTACTAAAATTTAGATTAACTAAATTGTATATATAAAAAGCTCTAACAATGATGCTTTAAAGATAAAGTAGTTCTATAAAGAATAAGTTAAGAATTTATGACTTCTTAACTGAGATCTTTGCTAGGAAAATCACTCTTCGACATTTTTTGAGCAGGTTAATTCAGACAAATTCAAACCAATATATCAGTTCTTATTTGTATATAAATATTCTTGCCTTTATTAACTCAAGCATTTATTTGATAAACTATTGAATCAAGAAGTAAAAATATGATTTACATATAAATAAAAACTGGTATGTTGGTTTAAAATAGTCTAAATTAGCCTGATTGGAAAATGTCAAAGTGTAATGACACAAGTAAAGTTGTATTACAAAGAGTTTAAATAAATAGCACTTATAGTTAAATTACAGATACAGTATACAATATAGAATTAATAATATAAAAAGTTGTAGGCAGACTATTTAAATTAAATACTAAAAGTGTACATATAATTGAATATACTCTTTAATATAAAAGGTTCCTTTGAGGCTAATAAGTTATAAGCTTTTTGCTTAAATTTATATAAATAATTATCAAAAAACATTTATTAAAAGTTAAAAAATATTTAGTTACAATTTCATTTTTATAGTATTTAAAATTTGAATAATGATTACTTAATCCTATTTGACAAATTCAATTAAATTTTTTTATTTTAATTTTATAAAATTATAAAATCAAAATAAAAAATTTTAGTAGATTTAATCAGTAGATACTGTATTAAATAATCTTTGTTTAAAATTTAGGTATTTATAAAAAAAAACTAAATTTTTTTTGGCTTTTAATAAATGTTTCTTGATAAATATTTATACAAATTTAATATTTTTTTTGATTTTATTCTCAGAATTAAAATAGAAAAATTTTTTATCAAATTTGGATAGATAGTTATTGAGAAACCTTTGTTTATATTTTTAAAAAAACTAAAAATTTTTACAATGAATTTTTTAATTAGTCTTTAAACAAAGATTTCTCAAAAACCATCTATTCAACCTGATGAAATTTTTTTTATTTTGATTCTGAGAACTTATAGAATCAAAGTAAAAAAAATTGTCAAATTTATTTAGGTATTTGTCAAGAAACATTCATTGAAAACTAAAAAAAAATTTAACCGCAGCTTTTTTTTATAGATACCTAAATTTTGAATGAATATTACTTGACAATTACCTGACCAAATTCTATAAAAAAATTTTTTTATTTTACTTCTATAATCTCATACAATTAAATAAAAAAAATTGATGGAATTTGGTCAGGTAGGGGCCGAGTAATCTTCGTTCAAATTTTAGGTATCTATAGAAAAGAAACTGCGACTAAATGTTTTTTTAACTTTAATGAATGTTCCTCGACAAATATCTAAATAAATTTGACAATTTTATTTTGATTCTATAAGTCCTCAAAATCAAAATAAAAAAAACATTCATCAGATTTGAATAGATGGTTTTTGAGAAATCTTTGCTTAAAGTTTAGACAAAGAAAATTTTGCCCGATTTTTGGTCGATATTCTAATTTTTTTTTTTAACTTCTAGCAAAGATATCTCGATAACCATTAAACCAAAATCAATAATTTTTTTTATTTTATTCTGCAAAATTACAGGATTAAAATAAGAAATTTTACCGAATTTGGTCAAGTAGTTGAAAAACCTTCGCTACTGTAGAAGTTTGGAAAATTTTAAAAATTTTGGATGATCGCTAAATTTTGATTGGTCGTGCGAAACCTTTTTAGGTTGGTACGTACAAAGGTAGGGATTGGAACCGCCTAAAATTATTTAACCATTTAATTCAGCTAGCATTAAAATAATTCAGGTTCTATCATAATTCGGCCCGAAATTATAAGATAATTTTTAAGCGATTTAACAGTATCTTAATACTTAAAAATGGATCAAATTAATATAAAGGATTCTATCAAAATCAATTGATTAATAATCAATTTTATTAATGTGATCCCCTATATTATATTTAAATTACTCAATCGCTTATTTTTTGCACGTGCATTATAAGAGCCAAATACGTACATACGTATATATTGCCAGTTAGATAACCAGCTTTTATTACAGTAAACTACCGGTAATTGTAATTAAACTAGCTGATAACTAATCGATTAATTGCTTTCTGCAAAAATTCTACGTACGTACTTTGCCGGACCTAGCCCTAGATTGCATAATTGCATAATGATATAATGTAAGTGAAGGTAAATTGTGGTCATAATAAGTAATTAATTATCGTTATCATTGTGATGAAATACCTCTAAATGGGTTCCGCAATGATAGATGGTGTTACCAAAACTCCATCACATTCAGGTAAGATGTAACTAAAATCATATTTACAGGTTTTTCTTTGGTAGCACTATAACAATTAGTTGAACATGCTACATTCCGGATACATTCCGGATAATAACGCTACTTAATAAAATTTAATACAAACATGATAAGAAATTTGTTTAGTGATTGCTACGCTATCTTAGTTCTGATTGGTCGGTTTGACCTGGGTCACTCAGTCAAGTTATTAATGATCCAGCATATTTGATTATCTAATCTTATATTCATGTGAGTGAGTCAAGTGAGTCATAACGGTCGATCACTGAGCTCATGTACATACATATGCAATAAAATTGAACAAATGAAAAATAATATTTATTTATAATCAAACAAAACACAAACCTGTCCTTTCATCTCTTTTTTTTTCGTCTTCCTTCCGGGAATATCGAAAAAAATTTATATTTTTTCATTTTTTATTTTTTATTTCTTGCCTACTTTTACTCTCATTTTATTTTATTTTTAATTATCTATTTATCTATTTGTTCAAACCATGTCAATGCCTTTTCTTGGAATAAATCGGCCAATTCAACCGATGACTAATATATCTAATAATCAGTCAACTACAAAGAAACGTCCTTTATCTCCTATGCTACCAGTTGATCCTGCTTCAAAAAATAAACAACGTGCAAACAGCCATTTGAATGTTTCTATGAATTCCACGAGCAAAATGTTACAAAAATCACCACACGGAGGGAATATGAATGTTAATTATAATTCTGCTTATATATCTTCTCCAATGTCGGACCAATTTTCTAAGAACAAACAGCGTACAAATAATTATTCAAATATTCCTATGAATTCGACTAATAAAATGTTACAAAATTCACAAAATGGAGAGAACTTGAATGTTATTTACGCACAATCTGCTTATCTGTCTCCATCACTGTCAGACCAATTTTCTAAAAATAAGAATCGTAAGTCCTTGTCTAGTCAACAAAATATACCCTTTATTCGGGGATCAAAACAAAATCTTAATGCTAAAATTGAAAAGTCTACAAGGCCTTTACCCGATGTGTTCTATAATATGGATTACATCAATTCAAGATATAATACAGTAGAT